TGTGAGTGGTTCAGGCATGCTTCGGACACGTGAAAAAGAAAGGGATGGAGACTGAGACAGGGGTTTGTGGTCAGGCTGCACTCATTGCTGAGGACCTGGTATGCCAGTAGTAGAAAGGAACTTCTAGATTAGCTGAAAGACTAGAAACAAATTCCTGTCTTGTTTCTTTGACACACAAGATCTTTAAAAAGCCTTTATCTTTGAAGAAGTGGGCTTAAATCAGCATTTGAGTGCATTGGTGAAGAGGCATTCATTCGGGTGACAGCAGTGCTGTTGGGCTCTTGAGTATCTTTTCCTCTCCCTTGCCTTTAGGCTTTGCAATCCAAGTCTTCCTCTTCATTTGTCACCACTTCCCAGGTAGTGGGCACCTCCAGTATCATCTCGAACTACTCATGGCATATTTTGTCTCTCCTTGATATAGAGAAAAGAAGTTGAAGGCCAGAGTTCAAGAGCTGGTGAGTGCCTTGGAGAGACTTACCAAGAGCAGTGAAATCCGACATCAGCAATCTGCAGAGTTCGTGAATGATCTAAAGCGGGCCAACAGGTAAAAATCTCCCTATACCCAGCGCCCCCCACCTTCCCCCTGCAGTACTTACACTGACTCCTGTTTGTAGACATAGCATCAGGGATGGACATTTCCCTAACTCCTGAGAACCAACTCTGGAGAGTAGGTGAGTCCCCGTCTAGCCGTCTTAGAGCAGCATCTCCCAAGATGTTCCAGAAACTAAGAAATGCTCAGTATCGACATCCCTTGGCCAAACGTGGCATACTGTGGTGTACTTCTCCTGATATTATATATCTTAAAGGTTCTGAGAAGTCATACAATAAAAAGTCTGTTTAAGCCAATATTTTCCAAACAAAATTGGCTATGGAATTGTTTTGAGCAATACAATATCCATTGGAATACTTTAGGAAATGCTGCTCTAAGCCCAGGCTCAGGACTCTATAAAAAATGAAGGAACTTAAATAGCTTTTGTTAGAAACTGAAACCAAGATAAACTCAGTTTTTAATTCAGTTACAAAAAAAACTGAACACACTAGATGTAATACAAATGGCATTTTAATCAAAAACTATTTTCCCAGAAATTAGAAGAGTGGCACTGGTTTTGCAAATCTTTAATGTCTGGCTTAACAGAAGACAGCTGGGTTCTCACATTTGCTTCCGCAGTCAACAGTATGTGGATGTATATTGATAATACCTGGCATTATCCAGCTCTATAGTTGGAAATAAAAGCTCAAGACCTCACAGACCTCCTGAATGGGTTTTACAACTACCTGGAGGTGAGTCCTCAGACCACTAGGGAGAACTGCAGCTGTAGGGATAATGACTGTACATGGACTGGACTTACGTGGGCTTACTGTATACCCTCTCCCACCAGACTCTGGTAGGGATAGTTCGAAGGCCTCTTTATTCCATGTCTGGCTTTGCAGCATTGGCTTATGGTCTAATTGAGTACTCTGAGTCCCACCAGCCCAAAGCATAAAGGGAAGTGGGAACAAGAACAACCGCTCTGCTCTCATCCCAGGTACAGTCACTTTGAGTGCAGTGCCTCAGGAACACTCTCCTGTAAGGTGCGCTTGACTGTATTGCAAGCAACCATGGAGCAACAAATAGACCCACTCTCTGTTTTGGACTTGGCTGATCTGGATTGTTGGTTTGACTCTTAGAACCCCTTCTAATATGTGAGAGTGACCAGCCTCTAGAAGCTGGGCTTCATTCATCTTGGTGAAGCCAATAGGTGACTGGCCATGAGTATTGATATCCTGGTGCTATCCCTCCTCTGACCACTAGGTATCAGATTCTTACTGAAGAGGCTGGGTGATCTTTCTTCAGAGCAGTGCTCACTAAAGCTGGTTATCCAGTGGACAGGACATTGTGTCCCAATGCTACTTAGGATGAATATTCATCCTAATTTCCCTTCATTCCCACCTAGCAACCTGGTGGCTGCCTATGAGAAAGCAAAGAAGAAGCATCAAAACAAACTGAAGAAGTTGGAGTCTCAGATGATGGCCATGGTGGAGAGACATGAGACTCAAGTGAGGATGCTCAAGCAAAGAATAGCTCTGCTGGAGGAAGAGAACTCCAGGCCACACACCAATGAAACTTCACTGTAATCAGCACTCAGGCACCGGAGTTCTGCCCATGGGAACTAAACCACAGCAGGCCACTGAGGACAGAAGGGCCCCTGGAGACAAAGTACTTGTTGGGAGGAGGAGGAAAGGGAATGCTGGCAGGTAGGTCGGCACTTGGACAATGGAGTGGCCTAACTCAGTCTTTGCGGCAATTGGCCATAGTGACAACTGTGGACTGTATCCAGAGGTGCCCGCTCTTCCTTCCCGGGCCCACAACAGTGTGTAAACACAAGCTCTGTGCCTGCTCAGCAGAACCTCGTTTCTGCTTTCAGCACTCACTCACCCTCCTCTTCTGGTCTGGCGTCTGTGCATCAGTGGAGTCTCAAGCATTTGTTTCTGTAAGATTTTCCATTCTATCCTCTTTCTGGTAGATGGTGGGCTTATCTTCTATCATCTCGTTTCTTCTCTTTCCTCCTGCTTCATGGGAAAACTGACACACAGACCTGTGTGTGCCTCCTGCATTTAAAAGGACTGCTGATTCACTTACTGCAGCAAGGCTTTGGTTTTCAAGTCTCAGGACTCAACTTTAAGACAGAATCAGTCATAAGAGGCGTTCTCTGGGAGTTACAGGCCATGGGAAGAGGGTAGACAGGTGTTACTTACAGTCCCAGATACACTAAAGTTACAAGTAGACTGCCGCCAGGACTGTGCCTGAACAATTTTGTATTAAGAGAATAAAAATTTCCTTCAGCCTTCATTTTGGAAGCAGGGCTGGGAAGGGAGCGCTTTCTTGATTCTGGGATTTCTCCCTCTCAGTGGAGCCTTATTAATATCCAAGACTTAGAGCTGAAAATCTTTTTGATGCCTGTAGTGGAACAAAAATTTTATCAGGGGTTTCTTCAAGAACAGAGAAGCATTATTAACACTTCCCGCCCCAGGGCACTACATAATTGCTGTTCTGCTGAATCAAATCTCTTCCACATGAGTACTTTACTTTTGTAGCTCTGGACCTGTCTCTACCTAAGGACAAGACACAGGAGATACTGAACATGCCTACTTAAGAGTGCTGCTTAACCCCTGGTTCAAGACTTAGCTCCTGCTGTCATGTCAGGGACAGGGTAAGGGAATGGTTGCTAAGGCTTTTTTTTTTTTTTTTTTTTTTGCCCCTAGATACATGATGATGGTTAGCATATGGTGCCTAAAAGGTTAAATTTCAAGCAAAATGCTGACAGGACTAAGCAGAACCAAAGTACTGTACCTGAATTCTTTCAGGGAGGTCTTCCATCTTAAATTCATTATTCTTTTTTTACTGTAACCTTCAGTTTTATCCCTTCTCCTTCAGTTCTATGCTGATACACTTAAAGGACCATTCCTGTTTTTCTGTAGCATCAGAGAATCCATCCAAAGTTCCCTATGAAAAATGTGTTTGAATGCCACAGTTGACTACAAATTAAACTTGATGAGGTTTTTGCAGTAGAATCTTTATGTCCATGAGCTATGGGTGGGTCTATTTTCAGAGCATGATACAAATTCCACAGCCTTCTGTTCAATGGAGGATACTCTAGCCACCAATCTGGAGGGTAGACAGTTCTAAAAGCAACCACTGAGAGGCCAGGAGTGAGACTGCCCATCTCCAAACAAAACAAAAAATCAACTGGTTATCAGTCTGGAAGGATGACCTTTGGGGTGCTCTGATCACTGTGATAAATGCCCACTGGTGTCTATCAATCATTTGGTCAAAGTTAGTTCCTGTGATTTTTTTTTGAGATGGAGTCTCACTCTCGTCACCCAGGCTGAAGTGCAGTGGTGCAAATGGTGTTATCTTGGCTCACTACAACCTCTGCCTCCCAGGTTCAAGCAATTCTCTTGCCTCAGCCTCCTCAGTAGCTGGGATTACAGGCATTTGCCACCACACCTGGGTTATTTAAGTGTCTTTTTTTTTTTTTTTTTTAAGTAGAGACGGGGTTTCACCACGTTGGTCAGGCTAGTCTTAAACTCCTGACTGCAGGCAATCTACCCACCTTAGCTTCCCAAAGTGCTGGGATTACAGGCATGAGCCATCATGCCCTGCCACTGTTGTGATTTTTTAAAAATCAATTTTCATTTTTTGTATAAAGTTGCATTTTGTCACGAGGAAAATGTTTTGGCTGAAAAACATACGCCAAAAAAAGTTTTCACCATTTTTCCAGCTTGCCTAATGAAATGTTCTCCCCTGAGGAAATTGGGGATGTACACGGCTTTCTCTTTTGTGATTAAGCAGGCATCAAATGGACAGTTTTCATTTTCACCAACGCAAGAATAAAATCCTGCCTACTGACTTCTGCCTCCATTCTTGCTCCAGGTAAAATCGGAGAACCTCCCTTTCTTGGCCCTGTAATTCCTCCAGGCAGAAGAGGCTTCAGCTCCTCTGTTAAGGGCCCCAGTGTTACGCATCCTACCTGACCTTAGTTTAATACTTTCAAATATGTGATGATTTGGGTAAAAACTATTTTGCAGGCAAAAGTGTTACTTTTATAAATATGTATAATAAAAAAGCTATGAAAGTTTTTCCTTTCCTTGTATTTTTCAAATACTCCCCAAGACATATTCCTTGAAGATGAACTAGTGGGCACTTGATTATGCTAATTGTGGGAGCTACTGTATACTGATTAAATAAATGCTTGCAGGTGCCTGGGTAATTTTCCTTTGTGTATAACCTGGCTCTACCTGAATTTTTCTCTAGGAGCTGTTTTACATTAACATCTCCATTGGGGGTAAACAACTTGATTCTAACTTACATGAAGTCAAAAACCTTCAGATCTCATATTTTGAATTGTTTTCTCTAGTTTCCTGAGTGGTTAACCGCCCCCCCCTCTTTTAGTCAGTAACCATCTCTGTTCAGAGTTCAGTCTTTGACTTTTGGAGAAATGGGCACGGAGCAAAAGGACTTCCCACTGTGGAACTGAGGCAAACAAAACCAACTGCACAAATCACAAGCAAAAGAGACTTCTGTTCATAGAGTGCCATCAGTGTGTGAGCTTACCAGCTACAAAACCTGTCATGGACTGAGGAGCAGTAAGATTCCTTTTTGAAACTTGCATCACTCTCATCTGCTGGCTTGTCAGCTTTCTGAAGTTGATATCCACGCTGCCTGAAACTGAAATGTTAATTTAAAAAATTAAGTACCAGTTAAACATAATTCCATAATTCCTCCTTTCAGATGCATGGACTAAGTCTTCTGTAAGCTTGCAGCAAAATATTAAAGGGATCTCAGAGAGTTCTAAGTCAGAGCCTTGACATTCTACTCCAAAAGGCAGTCCAAATTAGAGCACATAGGCTTTTTCCTTAAAACTGTTAGGGAGTAGTAAGAAATTTACCACTAAGGAAAACATGAAACTATATGAAAGTCTTCTGGTTCCTAACTGGATAAATTATTTTAAATGAAGAAAAAAAAAAAAATGCCCATAGTTACCTGATCAAGATTGGACTGCCCATCACTGGCATGAATTAAAGAACCTCCATAGCTGCCTGTTCCTGTCCAAGGTATTTCTCCAGCCCACCGGAATTACCCAGCAATCACTTTTTAAGTCTATCAATCAGTCAACCTTAAAGCTCTCAAGAGTTTGAATTATTAAGCTTTTAAATAAATTGATATCAAGATAATAAAAAAAAACAATTTCTGCAAGTATCCTTTCCTCCTTAAGTCTTTAAACCCTTTGCAAATTCTTAATTGGGAGTATGTCCCATTCATTCTATTAAACTATTTATAGCTCCACCTACTTCTAGAATCAGCAAACAGAACTATTAGAATATTTTTAGAGCCAGACAGTAAGAGACTTCTGTAATGGTTGAGATTTCTGCACTGACCTTGATTAGGGTACAGCCATAAGACTGCCAAAGTTTTTGGCAGGGGATGGAGAGGTGGAACATAAGTAACTTTTTTTCTGCAGAAGGTGATGGCTTTGTAGAACGCTATAAAAATTTTCAGAAAAACATTTATCAGTTTTTCTTATCCAATGGGAACAGCCTATCTAACAAGGAATGATAACAAGTTTGACTCACCTTTGAGCACTCTATAGAAGAGGCGTAACTGGTTATAAAACAAAAATTATGCCTTCACTACCCAGTTCTTAAAGTTTACGTCCTACAAATCTTAAAAGTTTATGAACCTGTGGCCTTCAGAAATAGCTTCTGTTTCACACACCTGAAATTACTGTCTAAGCTAATACATTTGTATTCTCTAAGAAATAATGCTGACCATTGTCACTGCAGCATCACTGATCTCTCAGTGGCTGTTAAAATATAAACAAGTGGAAAGGAGTACAAAAGTTGAATAGCAGCTGTTCATGTATTTTTCTTTTGCTAATACCTGTGTAGAGAGAGAGTTTCACATGCAGACCATTATACATTTTTGCTTAAGGGTTACACTGGGTAAATTCTCTGTCACATTAGATTTGGGTGAGATTTTGCATGTGACCAAGACAAAAACATCATTCAGTCCCAGAAACAGTAACTACTATGAAAAACCACATCCTTGACTAGTACCATCCGTCATCTTTCCATGGTCATTCATCTGCAAATCATATGAAATACCAGCTCAGCAGAACAAAGCAAGTAATATACAAAATTCCATGACCCCCTGCCAAACTGATCCCCTACTTAGTAATTCTTGCTCTACCACTTTTGCACTTTTTGCAAATCAAATTCATGTGGAAAAATGTTCTGTTTGTAGAACTCATAGTATTCACTTATAGTGCTCATGTCAGGACCGCCAAGTGAATAAGAGCCCCTGATAATCAGCTTTAGTTTGTACCTAATGCAAAGGTAATAAGACATGTCCACTTCTTTTCTAGTTCTAATCAGTTTTTAGACATCTTGTCAAGACTTATTTACTTTGCATGAGATTTGTTTCCTATTATTTGAAAATGTGCTATACACTTGAATTAGAAAAACCTGCTTGAATGTATTGTCAGTTATTAAAGCACATGTGACTAAGTTTGCATTTGTCAGTATTGTTCTACTGTTTGTACTAAAAAGTCTCATTTTAAAATTGCTAAACACTGTACTATACCTTGTAATTTTTTAGATTCTTCACTTGTACTCTTTAAATGTTTCCAGATGCCTTTAGCTTTAGCTGCTGTAAAATAGCTACTTTGCGTTATTTGATATAGAATTGTTTTTTTAAAACTCCATTTATTTATACAGAGACATTTATAATATTTTACCAACATTCTTATATTCTGAATAAATATTTCTAATTCCATGGTGTACCTTAACTGTGTTAATTAAAGGGTAAGGCTATCCTTCTGTAGAACTGTTTGCCATACAGGCATATCAAATCCATGATGCTTCCATGAAATCAAGAGCCCTAGTCAAAGCAGAGGCACTAGAAGAAAGACTTTATTAGATCAAAGTGGACAAGAAATCTCATTTATAGCCAATTTTTATTTGGCTACTTTTTCATATTTGGTGTAACTAGGAAGTTACCTATTGAAGAGTCTTTCCCCCTCTTTAAAGATCATTAAAACAAGGAATGTAATCAAGGACTGGAAGTGCAAGGAAGTAATACAGGACAACAAGATGGCAAGCAGCTTTGCAACATGTCTGTTACAGAAAGATACAATGTTGTCAAGCTGTCACTATGGAAGCAAAGTACCTCTGACAGTAAGTATAACACCCTGGTCACTCCCCTTTTGAAAATTTTAAATAAAAATTACTGTCATAGAGCTGAGGTCTCTGATGGAAAAGAATGTATTTCTTTCTCGAGCCAATGTTAGGTATTCCTATTGCAAAACCTGATTCTATCACAAACTTAAGAATTGCTGGATTTTAAATACCTAATTAATTCACATCTCTAGCCATACACAATAATCTTGCTTTAAAGCAACAAACTTGTTTGAAGTATTTTCATTTTTTCAGAGACTCTGTACTTTTTAATATTTCTTCCTGTTACACATACTTTTATTATGTTCATCTCATACTTGACATTTTTTATTGGTCCAAAGAGACAGCAACCACAATGAGCAACTCAGAACCTATGATAACAAGTAACAGTAGCAGAAACCAGACTAAGGTAGTGTAACTAAAACTGCCCAAGCAGCCAATTTTATTGATATTACATTACAGTCTAACACAATGTTTTTTTACAGAAAGCCAAGATGTGAACAATCTTCCATCATTCAAACTGTATTTTGTAAGATTAGTTTTTAACCTAGTATTATTTACATCAAAAAGCTTTCAAAAAGAGCCTAACTGTTAAGACATAGGATTTTGTTCATTTTCTCAGTGGAGAGTATAGAGTACAGCTGACATTCTAGTGGGTCTTTGGAAGTACAGTAATCCTGCAAACATTTAAACTCCAATTCACATACGTGAATCACTGGAAATCCTTTGATAGTCATACCCAACAAGAGAGGTAAAGTCAGTCAGTCTTTATCCTTTCATTAATACTGAGGAAAAAAAACAAAGTTGCTGTCCAACTACACCACCATAAATCCAGAAACACAATAAAACCTGTTCAAAATGTTTCAGTTCTTATAACAAGGTGAACACAATAGGTGTTTTGGGGTTCCTTTTCTGCTGTCAGTAAATGTTTGAAAGTTACCCAAAAAGCACCAAGGACTCTATACTACCATGAACAGAATCATTTGAAGTAGGTTTACTTATACGGTCTTTCTCCAAGCATTGAAATGCCCTATAGGGTAAAATAATGAAACACTGCTATAATCTAGGCAAAAATTAAAAGTTAAATCATTTCATGTATGACAAAAGTAATTACTAAAGAAAGTTCACAAATCTACTTGGTTATCACATTTACTCTAAAGTCTGGTTTTTTTTCATTGACCATCATATATTTAGTGAAACATTTCCTCAATTTTTGTCTACCAGCAAAAGTAGGTCTCAAAATAATTTGCTTAATATGACTTAACATAAATATCTTCACCTTTTTCAGACCAAAACTTACTCCCAAATTGTTTTAAGACTATGTAGACTATATATCTTCCTTTAACATAACCTAGTCTTTACAGCATAATGTAAAAAGCCATATCAAATCTTATTTTGGAAATAGGCACAGTATTAAAAAGTCAAGTCTTACACCCTTTTCCATCCACACTAATCTGTATACCCTATTTTGGTTAGACAAAAGACAATCTTATTGAGAGAATTTCACTTAAATTGCTAATATATGAACTATAATTCCAGTTGATTGTTTTATTCTGAAATGAGATCGTTTTAAATTTTTATTAAAGCTAACAGATAAAAGTCTGAATTGTACATGGATCTAGGATGAGTCCAATACTTACCAAGGATGATTTTTTAAAAGTACTATAAGGTATTAAGCTAGTAAAAGCAAACTTCAAAACAATTATTTTTTTAAAAATAGACATAAAGCAAATAGTTACGGTTTTATTGTCCTTTCCTATTTTTGTTACTGAAGAAAAAGTTTCTATTATTTATAAAAATTGAAGTCAGGTTAGCTGTCTCCTGTCCTAACTCTAAAGTAAAATATCAGCGAAAAACTTTAACTCATTTCTTTGAACACGTGCATTTAACATTAAATGATTACTTGTGCAACATCCTAACACAAACCTAAAATGAACCAAAGAGACAGCAGTGCCCTAGAACAGTAGTGAAATGCACAAAGAAACTCTAGCAGGTGTGTCTTCTGTGCTTTCTGTCAGTGCATATCATATGTATAGTGCATGAAGAATACAAGTCTACTGTTACTCATATGTTCCAAAAGCACTAACCCATCTAATCAACCAACTGCTGAAAAATTATCTTTCAAAATTTCATTCACAGTTGAAAACCTTTACTTTCATTTGCTGCCATCCAGTCTATTCCTAAATATCACAAAAGCATATGTCAATCTCTTAAAGCTTAAAAAAATGACAACGCAGACTTGTGCCCAAAATGAAGCTACAGATTTAGAACCTCGGATTCAATGAACTAAAAGGAGAAAAAATTAATATGTTAAATTTGACCTCAGAAATTCCACTATACTAAGAATGTTACCTAAGACCTCTCAGACTGAGGACCAGCAGAACACAGAAGTCTGTTCTTTGTTCCCAAGCCAATGTGAAAGCTACAAGCATTGAGACTCAAGAGAGCACAGGTATCCACAGCCCTCCTATCTGTTTGTGACCCAAACATCAAAAGTGAGATCAGCTTCTCGGGAAGGAAAGATAAAATCACTGCTTGCAAGTCTGGAAGGTTTATCATAGAGATGCCAACATAAATTTTAAAAGATTATTCTACAGAAGGGACAAGTCACCAGGGAGAAAAAAAGGACTCAAGGGCTTTTTCCTGGCCAGTCACACCAAAAAAAGGGATTAAGAAACAACAGGTCTTCAAATGGCACTGAACAAACAGTGGCCAATAACCCAAAAACCACCCAACCACTTGCAGAAAACCTTCCACCAAAAAGCAGAAAACACAAATTCAGGGCCTTAGTCTCCTACCAGACTAAAAGACTGAAGTCTACTGAAGGCTAGAGTCTATGTGGGACAAGGTTACAAACACAGGCAACTGATTTTTGTATTCATTCTTCAAAGTACCCTTGACCAATACTACCCAACTAATGTGAAGCACCTTGTGAAGGCTCATTCCTTTTAGGCTGTGCCTTCAAGCTGCTAACATAGTGAGACCATACTCCTCTGCTAACCACAGAAGATCCAAGATACATGGAATGTTTTATTGGTGATTTCATTACTCTGATAACCCAGATTAAAGATTCCATTATGAACAGCTCTCAAGACCTCCATACTTTATCATAGTTTTTCTTTGCACTTGTTTGTCCTCAGCTGGTGGAAGTCAACCTTTCAAGTCCACTCCCAAGCATGAGAGCTACTTTCACTCTTTTCCCAACTTACAGACTACTATTTCAATAGTAAATGCTATTTGTCACAAGGAAGTGAGATGGAAAGGAAATTAATCACATTCAGGACAAATGTATACCTACACTGTGATATGACTGACACCACAGCAGATTATGGCTGTGTGTTCTGGGTTGTCTTCCTGTAAGAAGGCAGTGCACTCCAGTTTGACTGGAGTTCTACGGTATTAACACATGAAGGACCAGACTCCTCAACACTGGTTTTTAAAATGAGAAAAATTAATTCACTGGATTGCTTGGCAATCATACTTGAAAAAATTAACTTTATCCAGGGGTAGAAAACACTTGATAATGGCTATACATATATATGTATTTTTTTCATATATATATGAATGGCTACACTTAGGCCATGCAATGATCACATTTCTAGCCTGGAACATAATATAGCACTCAAGTATTGATAAATACTCTAAAATTTATTTCTTATACTCTTTGCCGAGCAACTATAGCTATTCTTCCTTCAGGACACTTTGATTCTATAATAATAATCTATCATGTTTTGAAACTGCAATCCAGAATCGTACTTTGAAAACATGGGCAAAGCCTGTACTACGTATTTGCAATCTGCCACCTTTCTGACAGAGGAGTACAGATTTTAAGAGCAATTCAATTCTAAGAAGAAAAAAGATGCTGAGAAAGCCCATCATAATCTCATTTTTAGAATTTTTGGCAGCTAGACAAATGCACTTTAAAGTCGTAGGACATAATACAAAGTGAGAAATTCTACCTTGACTTTACCAAGCTGTCAGGAGTAAGGTTTGACAAAATTGTTTCTACTAACGTTTGTTTTTCCTTTTTTTTTTTTTTTTTTTTGTGTGTGTGTGTGTGTGTGTGTGGAGATGGTGTCTCGCACTGTCACCCAGGCTGGAGTACAATGCTGTGATCCCGGCTCAATGCAACCTCTGCCTCTTGGGTTCAAGCAATTCTCCTGTCTCAGCCTCCCAAGTAGCTGGGACTACAGGCATGTACCACCATGCCCGGCTAATTTTGTGTTTTTAGTAGAGGCAGGGTTTCTTCATGTTGATCAGGCTGGTCTCGAACTCCCAACCTCAGATGATCCGCCCGCCTAGGCCTCCCAAAGTGCTGGGATTACAGGCGTGAGCCACCACACCCAGCCTAGCATTTGTTTTTCTAGAGACAGGTATGTAAAGGATACCTTCAAACAAACAAAGTTTGTTTGCTTATTAATCTAAAGTTATAACAATACATATGAACCCCATCCCCAGGCTAGAAAATAATCCAAGTCAAAATTACTAGGAAGAAAAGTTAATGAATCTGATTTATTATAAACTATGATTAACATACAAAAAAAATACTGTCTTAGAAAATATAGAAACACAATAGATGTTAAAACAAAATCTCAGGGAGCAGGGAGGTCCACTGGTACAAAAATAAAAATAAAAAGCCAAGAGCGGGTATTGTGGTAAGAAAAGTAACTTGGCAAAATGTCTAATTGTTATAATTAACTTTGCTCTCCTTATTGTTTAACTGTTGGAGATGAAAAAAGAAAGGGCGAAAAGTAGGTCCTTGAGAGAACAGGTAGTGAAATGTTTTTAATGCACACATGCACTCAGGCCTTAACGTTTCTATAGGACACAATATGGTGAATTTTATAGAAGAATCTAATTCCTATAGGAGGAGGCTGTATTCACTTAGATTTGAATTCCTTTTGACACTACATACAAATTACTAAAGCCTTCAAAAGGAAAAGTACTAACTCAATCATACTGTATACAATTACTTTCATTATATGTCTTCATTAACCATATTTACTAATTGATATTTGATAGAAAAATAAGGATATTCAAAGCTCAGAACAGCAAGTAGAGACCACAATTCCTTTGACAGCATTGGGAAACTTTCCTTTATATATGAATACAAAAATCCAACTTAATTTTCCAACATCTTTAATCAAATTTTACCCACACTAAATGAGTTATATTAGGTGCTCAGACTTCTCCAAATGCTCATGTCTCAAGAGGGAATCACTATTTGAAATCCTAAACCATTCATTTGCTATTTCTTAACAAAAATTTTTGAAAAGCACATAAACCACACCCTTCTTTTGGATTACAATGGTTAGGTATGAAAACAATTCATTTAGCATCTTATAAATCATTAAAGTTATACATAAAAGCACCTACAAGTTTTTTTTTAAATAAAAGATTCACAGTGCACTGCACCTTGGAACATATAAGGTTGGAACATAACATTCAAAAAGTGAATTCCAAGACCTGCATCTCTCTCAAAGATATAAAACATAATGAAGCCAACTGACTACTCTGCTCATTTAGCTTCTTAAAATGCAGCACTCAGAAGTAAATTATTGCATATTCAGCATACTCCTTTATCACTTGATTTCCTCAAACCATACTAAAATTTCTCAAAGGAGAAATCTAGTTCACTAAACATGGCCATTCTCAAGGTAACCTGAACACTGAGAAACTAATACCCAGGTCTGAGGGAGTAAGTACAGCAGATGTACATAAAACAGGTACATCCAACTTAAATATTTTCTGCATAGTTAAGTCACATCATACACATAAACTTTAACTCACATCTTTTAATATTTTTTTAACCTCAAACTTTGAGGAGAGCTAAAAGCCTACTGATCATAATCACATCCCAACAATACCCTTATATTTTGTTCCACAGTGCATTAAATAAAGCAGCGTGACAGCAATAACATTTACTACTGTAATCACAAGATAATTTGTTGGTTCTTGAAAAGGCTCAACACCATTAGAGGCCATACTTCTGGTAACTAACTCTAATCTCTTTTGCTTCAGTATTGAGAGCTGAAAAATCCAACTCTACAGGCACCAGAAAGACTGGCCAAAGTATGCACTTAAAAACACACACACACACACACACACACACACACACACACACACACACACA